GGGGTGGGGTGGGGGGGGTGGGGGTTGGAGTGGCTGCCCCTTGCATCCTGGCTGGGGCAGTTGCCTCTGAGTTTCTGCCTTCCGGGCTCAGTGCTGTGTCCCCCTTAGGGGCCAGGGATGCAGACCCCCACTTCCAAGGCTTTGCTGAATGCAGCTCTGCCTGGCGTCCTGCTAAAGCTCCTTCTTGGAATCCCAGACAACGGGACAAGTCACTCACCTCACTGGCAGGAAACAGATTAGGGCAGGGAGTTCCCATCCCGGCCCCAGTGGCCCAGCGAGACTGACCAGAGGAGGTGACGTGTCCCAGGGCAAGACTTCCTTCTTGGGGAGGCTGAGGCTCCTGAGGGTCGGGGGAGGGCAGTGTCCCAGCGACCCACAGTCCCCGCTCTCGTCTGTTTACTGACTTCCTAAAGCAATAGAAGAGTAATGCTCGCTCCTTTTACCTTTCCCGACAGTCGGAGGGGTTGAGAACAGCCTCTCTCCTGCCCCCGCCCAGGAGGGCCACGTAACCCGTGGTGGGCTCCCCTCCCCTCCGCCGCATTCCTTTGCAGCTCAGCTTTCCTGGCAGCCTCCCCCAAATCCTCCTAAGGCCCCGGGAGCCCCCCAGGTGGTGAGAGCTTGGTCCCCAGGCCCTTCGGCGCCGCCCCCGTGGGCGGGCTGCCCGAGCTCCCACCAGTGACCTGCCCCAGCTTCCGCGGGTCGCGTTGCCGGGAGGGTCGTGGGGACAAGTGAGACAGGTGGGCGTCCTCGAGGCTAAGCAACGGGCAAAGGGCTTCCCGAGCTCCCTGCTGCCCCTCTGGGGCTTTGGACCCCGCAGTCCCCTTGGGGTCAGACTTAACGGAGCTCGCGGTGGAAGTTGCGGACCGGGGCGGGGCCGTGTCGCCGGGGTCCCCGCCTGCCCGCCGTGCGCGCGCCGGGGAGGGGTCCTGGCGGCGCTGGCTCCTCGGGCTTGCGCGCGCGCCCTCTTCTGGCCGCGCGGAGGACCCGCAGGTGCCGCCGCCGCCTACCCGCCTTCCCAGGCTGGGGACGGCGCGCCAAGGCTCTCCCCGCCCCCACCTCCTCTGGCCCCCGAAGACCCCGGGGGCATTATCCCCATTGCTCCGCTGGTGAAGCTGAGGCCGAGAGAAGCCGTGACATCCTGCTCAGTGCTCGTGGTTAGGCCGTGGTTCCGGCCCCTTGACTCCAAATCCAGGGCACAGTGGGGCTGTCTGGAAGTCTGGCCACAATGCAGGGGAATGGCTCTAATGGGGGAACTGCCGGCAGGGTGTTGGCTCGCTGGAGGGTCCCAGGAGGATGCCTTAAAGGAGGCCCATGTGGCAGCTCCCTCTGGTTGGGGGCTGCTCCAGAGGAGGTGGGAGAGTAGGAGCTGGGCGCTGACCTTTGGGCCCTTCAGAGACAAGAGATGGGCTCTCACAGGGGCCCTGAGGGACCCTTGCCACCATCCTGGTTACTCCTCCCACTCCCCTGGGGTCTGCCAGGCTGGCCATACTGCGAGTGCCATCACTCACACCCCAGCTGCAGGTCCCCAAGGTCATGGCCCGGTGACCTGCGGGGTCTTAGAACCCAAAACGCCTAGCTGGTGGAACTCGGAAAGTGCCCAGCCCAGAGGACGTTGATGGGAACCTGGGCCTGGAGATGGGCAGTAACGTCCGGGGATTGCACAACCCACAGCTGCCAGGTGCCAGCACCCCCTGCCTGTGGTGGGCCAGAAGTGAAAGGGACCTTAGTCAGAAAATGGCCATCTTCGGGGTAACTAGGACCAAGCAGAAAATTTCAGTTAGCCATTAATTTCAGAACTGACACTTACCAATTCCTTGAGGTTAGCGGAAGAAATGAGAAACTGACCGTACGGCTGAACCTGCCCCAAAAGGGTCCTTCTCAAAGGGTTGTTTCTGTTTGTCTCCCTTTACACCCTCTTATGCTGATTTACTTTAGATGTTGTGCATCTACAATTCAGGATTGAATCTAAATTTACTTATTTTTCTTACCTCCCTAATGAACTGCAAACAGGAAATCCAAGAGAAAAGCAAGGCACTCTAGCTGATTATTAACTCACCTTCTTGCTTAAAGGAAAATTGCATCCACGTTAGTTAAAGGTACGAGTCAGGATTTTTATGTTCCGGTGATGTTGGCTGAGGTTATTGTCTTTGAGCTCTCCCTAGGAGATAAGGACTCCAACCCCAAAATAATATCAAGGGCTTGAAGCTGACCAGTCCACCAACTGCAGACTATGACACCAAAGCACCCAGTCCATCAGGGGAGGGGACCCTGACATCTGACTCAGACCCTCTGCTGATCCCGTGACCAGCCTCCCCCTTTTCCTTACCTCACCTTCCCACCTCTTCTCCTTTATAAATCCCAAAACAGGCATCAGAAGGCGGGATGATTTTAGCCTGGCCATCCCCCAGATGCTGGTTGTCTGAATAAACCTTCAACACTTGCACCGACTTTTTGGACTTTCGAGTCATTTGTTCAATGAGAGAGGGCAAGCCAATCCTGGCTGCCAGTAACAAGAGCACTGTGACGTGGGACAGCTGGAGCCCGAAGGCAGGGTCTCCCTCGTCCTGAGGACACCCTGCTGCCTCCCTCGTCTGGCAGAGGGGGGCTGTCCCCTAGGGATGATGCCACTTGGAGTGGTGCAGGTCCAGCGTGGCATGGGATCCAGCGCCGGCCCTGGGGGGGCTGGGGCACCAGCCATGATTTCATCTCCTCAGTGGTCCCAAGGGGACAGGTGGGCCATTGTCAGAGGAGGTGACTGAGGAGGCACGTGGAACTGTGTGGTGCGATTAACCCAGATGCACTGTTGGGAAAAATAGGAAAATGTCAGGGCCCCTCAGATATTCAGAATCTTGCCGAACATTTGCTGTAAATGTCCTCAGGTGTTCCTTGTTACTACTTAATGTAAGTTGTGCATGGGCACCCTGGTGTCCGGGGTTGGGGACTTAAGTATAAAAGCCTAACAGCTCTGATCCACAGTGCTTCTCAGAACTCAGAGAAGCTGCTAGGGTAGTTGCTCCTAGATCTGATTAAAACCCATTCATTTTTCTATACTCATGGCTCCCAGAACCTTTTTTTCCTATTACCTAGCTCACAGACCTGCGTGTGGAGGGTTTGTAACCCAATCTGTGCAACAGGCTCGAGGGGCCTTTAAGCCCTAGCTTTACAATTGGCATAGTCGGCAGGATATTTGAGCAGGTACAGGAGCCAAAAAGGCCCTTGGAGAGGGAGGAAATGTGGCTACTCCTGAATATGTTGCGCCCTCTGGCCACTTTCCTGCTGACCGGGATATGGTTGCTGCTTACTATACTGCAAGTCAGCATGGACCAGGCTCTCCATGAAGCGGTGCAGCTTCAGAGAGCCCCTTGGGAGGGGGAGGAAATATGAGTGTCCTGGAGCGTATGGTGCCTGGTGGCCGCTTTTCTGCTGACCAGAGCCTGGCTACTGCTCACTATGATACACACTGATTGAGATTTAAAGAAGAAAGCAGAGCTGTTAGCACGGATAATCTGTCTGGAGGATGACGTGCAGCGACTGGGCACCCCTGCCTCTCACACCTGGAAGAACGACAAACCCAGTGATGGGTTGGGGGAGACTGTGCATCCCCAGGCATGGCCCGTCATGCACCAGAAAATGAAACATGAGCAATCCACAGGTGACCCAATTTACCACCTATGTTCCATATAGCCCGGTGGTGTTAGTTGACTTGGGGAGACAGTTTCGGCAGAAACAGGGGGAGCCCCTGGCTGCTTGGCTATTGCAGTTATGGGACCTAGGGGTGGATAGTTTGATGTGCTCTGGTGAGGAGATGGAAAAATTGGCCTCCATCACCATGAACCCGTTCTGAGGCAGAGGCTGCAGAATAGCCACAGGTATGCACAAGGGCCAGGTAATCACTCCTTAATGGAATGGGTGACTGCGGCTGCCTGAACCATGTCGGCAAACGCTGGAGAACTGCCCAAGATTGTTAGTGAATGGCAAACG